TATATATAATTAACTATAATAAAGTTGAGTTTTGACGGCTGTAGTTTCGCCATCGCTCTTCTCATCAGATTCACTTTCGAAAGGATTTTTGTAAAAGTGTAATGGTCCTCCATATTGCTTGGCAGCATCAGCAACTGTTTGCTTGCCAACTGGTAATAGCTAATAGAGCCATGCAAACTTCAAAATATATCAATAATAAGCTCATTTTCAACACAAAGATAAAATCCAGATTTAAACCCAAAAACCAATACTTCAGTTTATTCCACGCAATCGTGAATACAGTCGGCAACATTCTGGTTGATGGAATCAAAGTAACGGGCATATCGTTGGCTTGCCATGCATGAGATATTTCTATTTTTTAGAAATTCTTTTGTGTCGTTGAATAAATCATCTGCGTCGTGGATTGCTTTTGAGAGATTCCAGCCCTTCAGAATCTCTCGAATAATCTTCAGCTTTTCTGGTTGTTGTTTATAGTTTCTCCAAACATTACGGTTTTTTGGGTCAAACGAAGAACCCGAAATCTAAAAGTTATGAAGTTTTTGAAAATATACCGAACTGAACGTACTCTAAAATCGACTATTGAGAGATTTCCATTAATGTCGAGTCCATAGTTGTCGCAATGAAGATCGCTCACATTGAACAACCTTTTGATCATATCCAGCATCAATTCTGCCTTCAATGTGAGCTTCGTCGTATGCGAAGGTTTAAAATTGACAACTGAATACTTGTTTTAAATTTTTACATTATAATAGCTATTTACCTTCTAATGTTGCGATGTTCACGCCAATAACGGACGTATGAATATTAGGTATAATGTGAACTGACGGTCCAACGCCGATTTGAGCCAATAACAAGTACATAAAGATTTCCCGCATGTCGACATTCTGATGTGACGACATCGCTGAGTGTCCTTTCACATAAAATCGTTGAAGAGTTCCCCCACAACTCACGTTGCAAATGAATCCAGCCTGGGAAAAATACGGGTAAGTTCATATTATTAATCTAACATACCTGAATACCAACTATTGATTTTTCCGAATAGTTGAAGGATAATATTGGATTCGCAGGATTCTTCTCAAATAATGCAGAAAAATAGCGTTCAACTGCTATTCTAATAAATTCGTCATAATCGTCAATATATTCCGAGAACTCCTGAATGAATTTGATCCGACGAATAGCAAAGCCCGCGTATGAAGAGAAAAAGCCCTCCGTAAATAAACGCTGTAATACATGCGAAGCCTCCAGCACTTGTTTCTTTTTCGCAGTATGTGGCCTATTTTTCGGAATATCCGAGGCAAGCAGAAAGACCTCCCACTCCGGGAGAGAAGAATGTTTCTGAAAATTATCAAAGCACTTTTTGAAATCTCAGAAAACAAAAGTCTACTGTGATCACTTGAAGAGGAAAAATGAAAAAAATTAGTTCTCGCTTTTAAAAATATCAGAATCACATGTCAAAATACACAAAAATAAACTTATACATCCTAACAATTAACAGTAAATTCTAAAAATAGAAAAACAACTTACTACCGTAAGTTCCTCAAACTCCTTGATCGATTCCAGGGGATTCAAAGAGTCGGGTAGCTCATTACCACGATATTTGATCTGTTGAAATTCGATGGGTATCTTCGTCACGTGCTCAATCCGGTTCAAGAGGTCAACACGAGAAATCTATAAATAAAACAGAATTTAGATTTAGAACCAAATAAAGTTCAAACCTGCGGCTCCAAAATAATATTCTTGAACAAGCGATCTTCTGCATCACCAACTAGTCGGAAAACAACAAAGACCATTCGAAAAAAAAAAACGAAAAAATAAACGCAAACTACAGAAGAAAAGGAAGTCTCTTTTCTATTCACAAAGGTTAGAATGAGATGAAAGAATGCGATGTTGGCAGTTTCTATTTTTCCTCTGCTTCTCTACCCACAGACGCGTCTCTGCCTCCCACTCTACCCCAACGCGTTTGCGTGTCGCATCGCGTGAGTGCGTATAGCTCAACTAGAGCAAATGTGTGATTGTGCTCGGTGACAGTGAGCAAGAGAAAAGATTTATGTGTTCGGGGCTTTGCCTCAACACAATTTCAGTGCGTCTGTTAGAACCGTTCGGATCGGTGTCCCTTTTGTTAGCTCTCTTTTCTCTCGCCCGTATCCCATCTAGTTACGTATGTAAGACTTATATTGTTTCTGTCTATCGCCGAACCAAGTCGTGTCATTGTTCTGCATAGTCGCGCACGTAGTGGCAGGGTTTGAAAGGAAGAATATAGTGATAGATTGTCCACCACTCTACGGAAGCCATACCGCCGAACTTTTGAGTAATACGCTGATTACCACTGTAGAGAATTTACGAATCAACTGTAAGGTGCTAACAAGTATAGTAGGAGACGGAGCTGCTAACATTAAGGCGTGCGTGCCTCGCATGAAAGATGAGTTCCAACTGGGCGAAAGTTTTGACGGATCAAGAAGTAGTCGAAAAAGTGTGTCAGATCTATCCAGATGACTGCGAAAAGTGCGTAAAGGTTCTCGAAAATCTTTCAATCGAAGATGCGAAATGTGTCGGACGAGAAAATTCCGCAATTTGGAAGATGCTAAAAAATCTCATTGCCTTTGATGAGGTGAGCTTTTATGTTTTAGCAAAGTTTAAATCTGTGAAATTTGAAGTGGTAATTCGCCTAACGCTAATTTTACTGTTTGTTTTTCAGCAATTTAAGTACTATTGTGAGAGGGTCGTTCTATCGCCTGATAAAATTCCGTCCCGACCAAAAACTTCTGTTAACGTGGAAGGTTTGTATGATTTTCAATTAAGTTTATTATCTTTCATTACTTTAATAATTTATCAATTCTAGGTCCGAACCCGAAAAAAAGAAAAGTTGACTCCGATTTCGAACAATACCCGGTCGATGGTCATTTAGCTGCTTCAATTGGACGTTACGCTTTATACTACAATTCAAAAGATGATAACTATAAGAGATGTGCCGTTCCGTTGACCCCAAGACTAATAGCTACATATCGTCATGGAGATAACAAAATGCTCAAAAAAGGTTTGTTGTGTTATAGGTTTATTTCAATTGGCTATTTATAGATGATGAGATCATTGTTAGTTCTTGGACCGACGCTAATTTCAAAGTAGCCACCCGTGTCGTGAAAATATTGGAAGAATTTGACGTGATAATCTTGATATCAAACGTAGATGTTTCTGATAGAAATCTTCTTTCGAATTCGATTGTGCCACATAAAGGGATGCGCTACATGATGGTATGTTTTAATAAATAATTTTCTGGATTACTTCTTAAAAAAACACTAGCGGCGGCGGATGTTATAGCGAAGATGGAAGACTTATGGGTATACAAGTCGCGGTCGAGAAAGTCCCTCACACAAGTGACAATGGTCGTCCAGCATCTCCAGTATTGGGTGGTCGTTGTCTCATTGTTCCGCTTAGTAGTTTTGAAGCAATGATTCAGGTAATATTAACTAATAATTTCATTCAAATAATTTTTATCTTTAGGATTTATTGCCAAAAGAAGACTCAGTTGATGAAGCCGAATGGAACAATTAAATTTTTTCGATTGGTAGTTTTTTTGTTTTCTATACAATAAATGTATTAGATTATGTGTGAAATTTTGAAAAAAAAGCAAAGAAAATCTGCTTAAGTATCTCTCATGAAAACACCTCGAATTTGAATTTGAAAACACCTCGCATTTGCAAATCTCTCGATTAAAGGTTCACTACATTTTCGCGCGCAATTAAGATAGTTGATGTTAATAAACATCATATGATGTAATACTTTAAGACTCTGGCAATCTGC